CACACTGTTCTTCCTAAAAAAATTATAATAATTTTAAAAAAAACCTTGATCTTTTTAAAGGACAAGAGGCTAAGATGAGGTTGAAACTAGTTCTCCATGCCAAAGAGCACAGATGGCCACTAGCTGAAATTGAAGACAGAAAAACAGGCATGTTGTACCCTCTCTCCATACTTCTGCTGCTCTTCTGCCTGTTTTCCCATGTGCAACTGTTGAGAGAACAAGGATTTGTATGACTCGCTTAGAAACATTAGAAAAATAAAAATCACATTTGACCAGCCTGCTCTGTAGTTAATCCAACCTCAGTTTGAATAGAAGACTCACATGAGCAATTGCAGCAAAGTAATAAATCTTCATTTGCACTAATTTCTTCCAGTCTTTCTGTATCTTTCCTAACATTGAAGCGGTTTCTGAGTTCTCCAGAGCTCTGCATGCCTCTTTATAATAGTCCACGACCTGCAGACAAAAATATTTCATATCCAAACTTATCTTACAGTCATACTGCCAGCAAATGGGATATATATAGCCATGAGCATTCTCAAATTTAGCAACGAACCATAATCTTAAGATGAAATGTACTTGTAAATGGTAGAAAAATAAGCAAGTACCTGGGCACTTATCCGAGCAACGAGAAAGCTCTTCCTTTTGTCCAACATAGATTTTTCCAACAGGCACTCTTGGGCCTGACCCTGAAAACAGGAATTGGTACTTTAGCCCTAATCTTCAGCATGGCAAAAAAAAAAAAAAAGATGTAAACAAGCACCCTTATGACAGCAGATGAGTTAAACTAACAAGAGATCATACCAGCATGAGGTTGATGTTGAGATTAAGTATCTGGTGACTCATGTCCACACTGAAGTTGTGACTGAAGTGATCTCTCAGGTAGGTGAACGCTCCAGCCGAGCACTGGAAGTGTGTGCAAGATACTTTCATTCCCTAATAGTTGTGTGAAACGTGAGAGTTAGGATGTAAGAAAAAAATTAAAAGGTAAAAATAACATTTACATATTGCTTAAACTCCGATATTTAGAATCTTATGAAATCTCACTTTTCCCTCTTAGTCACTGCGTCACGTGGCACACCCACAGACTTCTCACAGTCTGTTCGCTGACTGACCAATGCATATTGCTCACAGAACTCACAAAGCATTTTCTCAATCTGGTGTCATGTAAAACGGTGGCGAAATAGCACTGTACCACTACAAAATTCTGTTCTGTTAAATTTGTTATAATTTTACTATTGATAATGTCTTTAAACGTCTTGGCATGAAATGGAAATTGACACTTTTTTTCTATTGCTTCGCTTCGATCTTATTGTGAATGATTCATCCATGCATATGCTTCATTTGTTATTTGTGAAGAAGTGCTAAAATGGAAATAATTATTTCTCAGTCTGATAATACGAGTAGCTGAATCAGCAATTCCGACATGATGTGCACACTAAATTAGATCACATTATATTTAAATTGGTGTATGTATGCTGTGTCTTCTCTAATTCAGCTCACCTCTTCGGACACCCTGTTGTCCATGGCTCCCAACATTGAATGGAGCGCTCCTACAACATGGCAAACATGACTTGAATCAGGAAACAAGCCAGGTTTTGAACAATACCCTCCTCTGAACAACACAGTAGTTATTTTAATCACAGACAATGCAGGCATTGACTAGAGGAATAATACATATCAGTCTAGTACTAACTCACCCAAATTATAAAGGATGCATGCCTGCTCATAGCAGATGTCCTCATGGGTCACTGTCTTCCCAGAAAATATCTCTGTCCTATATATTAAACAAGTAAAGTGTAAGCGGAAGACTAAAAGTCAACAACAGGCAATATACGAGAGGGAAATATGACGGCTGGGTTGCTGCCCTCACCAGGAGATCGGGACAGCAGCTTCCTGCCCCAATCCCAAAGGCACGACTTGAATCAGGAAACAAGCCAGGTTTTGAACAATACCCTCCTCTGAACAACACAGTAGTTATTTTAATCACAGACAATGCAGGCATTGACTAGAGGAATAATACATATCAGTCTAGTACTAACTCACCCAAATTATAAAGGATGCATGCCTGCTCATAGCAGATGTCCTCATGGGTCACTGTCTTCCCAGAAAATATCTCTGTCCTATATATTAAACAAGTAAAGTGTAAGCGGAAGACTAAAAGTCAACAACAGGCAATATACGAGAGGGAAATATGACGGCTGGGTTGCTGCCCTCACCAGGAGATCGGGACAGCAGCTTCCTGCCCCAATCCCAAAGGCACACGACTCTGAAGATAGTGCAGTTGCCCGAAGTACTTCCTTAAGGTACTGCAGCCCTCAAAGTCTCGTGTGACGTTAACAGCACTCTAGAAAGGCAAGACAATGCAGAGAATGTACAAAATGCATAACCATAGACTTCCTGTCTACCGCTTGCATGGTGATAGAAATGTTAAGTGTGATTTTCAGGGAAGACACATATAATGAATAAAAGTATACCTTGAACGTGCTGTAAGACTTACCTGTCTCAATTGCTCCAGTTTCTTCAACTGCTCATTATAATTGTCAGGATCTTCACCGTAGTTCTTCAGTATGAACTGAGAAAAGGGAAAAAGCAAATAAGGATTTATACACAAAAGAAACAAAGCAGGGGAGTGTTCTGAGCTTTTTGGCCACTAACAGGACAATACAAATTTTCAATAGAATACAAATATTAACAATGAAAAACAAATTTTATAAAACAAAATATTAAAGAAAGATTAATTATTTTGCGTTCTTCAAATTTCCGAAATAAAAGTTCAGAATTTCTTAATATCTGGTATATTTGGTTATTTATTTTCCACTAACAAGACCATTCAATACAAACAAAACTAAATTAATACAAACTAAATTTTAAAAAAGAAAGAAAAAAGTCAGACAGACAGAAACAAACAAACAAAGCTCAACCTTTGACATTAGAGACACTGGAAAAATTTTTTTTTAAAGATTTATGATGGAACCTACAACCTACAAAGTTCCTCTTGAACTCCTGATTCACTAAATTATAATAGTTCTGTCAATTTGTTTGCATGCAACACTGTCAATAATTACCATGTATAAACATAAACAACTACATTTAACAATCTGAACCTGCTATTCTCCCTTTGGCCTAGTTTGTTAGGAATGTATCCGATAACTACTATGACGAAAGCTGATAAAAAAAAATTCCTGACTACTGTGAGGAAGTGAAGGATGAGGAAGCATGATTTTAAGTTTAACACATTACTATAAACATTTAATTCACTACCACACGGTATGTATCCTCAGGAAGGGACACTGCAGTACATTGCAGATGAAACAATAATCATTCCATTTACTCACCCTCATGCCTTTCAAAACCCATATGACTTCGTCAGTGTAACTTAAAATGAGTCATTTGTAACGGAATGTCTGTTCTTTTCGATACATCTGAGTGAATGGTGACCACAATTGTCACGTGGTAGTAAGATTATACTGAGGAATTGTTTTGATGTCTCTATACGATTCTCACACAACGCTATAATATGGCCAAAGGGGATTTGGAATATAGCACAAGAGTAAATCATTCTTATTATGCTTTTTTTGTTGTTGTTGTCATTTTAGAGTTTGACATCACCAGTCCCCATCCCCATCTTCATTACATGTAAAAAATAAATAAATAAATAAAAATTCCGCAAAAGAAATCAAGACAAGCGGATTTTAAACGACACCTTGGTAGGTAAATAATGACAGACATTTTTGGTTAATGGCAGATATATTTTTGGTTGAACTGTTCCTTTAAGAAAACACAGAATAGCTCACACAATAGCTGAAAAACAAGGCCCTGGGCTAAAACTTGAGTTTTGGGGTAGATCACCTATAAAATCATGCTGTTATTTTATTTTCAGTTTGTATAGGAGCAGTGACAGTAGTGTGTGGCTCGATCAGGCCTGTCTGGTTCCTCACCTGTTTGATAGTCGGGCTGAACTGAAACTCCCCTGCCTCCTTCAGATCCAGCCAGATCATCGGCATTCGCGGCACGGCTTCCATCGCAGCCGCAGATGTCGCTCAGCCGCCTAAAGTAGAATAGTATTATAGCGATCACTCAGTTGGAAAGATACCTGCGGAATTATTATTTTCAATTTTACAGCTCTGAACGACTGTGTCATGTCCCCATTTAGACCCATACAGGAAGCGATTGCAGCTTCCGGAAGTGACGTCATGAGATGTGAACTCTAAGAAATGTAGTTTTTTGATGCATTTTTGATGCTTTATGAAGAATTATTTAAATATATGATTTAACCTTAATATTTTGTTTTTTCTTTGTCTGTGTACGTAAATCCACATGTTTAGTCTATGTTTTTTTTTAATTGTTTTGTTTTTTTACTGTAAATGTCTTATCTCTTATTAGAGATACGACCATGTTTTTTTCTCGGATCATATATGTATTATAAAAAAAGTAAGTACTGTGCAATGCTGCATATTGATGTCTGTTATTCCATCAAAAAAATGTACTGGTATACCTATTGCATGTGTAAAAAAATGTATTAAAGATTAATTACAAAATATCTAGCCAACAAATAGCATAGAATAAAAAGTTATAATGTGTTTCTGATAGCGTTGGAACATGTTTTACATCTGTGAAACTTCCCCTTTTTTTGGGTCCTTATGTGAGACCGTCAGTACTAAAGGTAATATGAAGGAAATGGAAATCAGCATTCATTTGAGCAACCTCTTTTATTCATTTTCTCTCCTTATATTTTGTCTGACACTCTACAGTGATAAAATCATAACTGTAAGCTAAATAACTGAAATTATTCTGCAAACTGTATGTAGCCAGAATAAATTGCTATTTTAATTGCTAGTAATTTTAGTCCTTATGTGAGTCCATCAGTGCTAATGGTATTAAGAAGGAAATGGAAATCAGCATTTGTCTGAGCAACTTCTTCATTTTCTCTTCTTGTGTTTTGTCTCACGCTCCACACAAAACATCTTCTGTAAGCTAAATAACTGAAACAGTGAATTGAAATGCTGCAAATTATTCTGCTTCTCCTGCCTGGTAAGAAAATATTTTCTTATGTATTTTGTGCATTTTGTTTGTTGTCCAGTTTCCCTCTAATTCATTTCTAGCTGATTTTAATCAACTGAAAATATACAATGGAGACCAAATTCTGAGGCCACTAATAAAACTGTTGCTATTTTGTGTTCTTTTTGTTTTCTAATGAAAAGTTGAAAAGAAAAGATTGAAAATATTTTATTAATACCTGGTGTATATGGAGTATGCATCTGCTTATTTTATTAGTGACATAAATATCACAGAATCTTGAATATCATATCTCTTATCAATTTATGCCATAACTTTTCTTTATTGTACTTTTTTTTTTAAATTATGCATTTAATGCTTTTTTATGTGAGCTCAGACTTTTGGATCCCATTGTATAATGTAAATAAGTTCTTAAAAACTGTCACAATAGATGTTCTAGATAATATCTAAAACGGATATTGTGTCAAAAGATATTTTAATTATCCATTTCAACTATCTACAGTAACAAATATTATAATTAAAGCATTCTGTGCTCCTCAGCTGTTGTCAGTGATCAGTGGAGTGTGCGTTATCCTCCTTCGATCTGTGCTGCGAGGGGATCCAATGTCACTATTAACTGCACATTTACGTATCCACCTGAAAATGACATAAAGCAAGTGCTATGGTGTTCAATGAGATTAAACAAAGGCAAATGTCATTATCAGCCATATGTTTATGATAGTGAAGCAAACAATAGTCAATCATTTCAATACATTGGAGACAAAACCTCAGATTGTTCACTTTTGATCAGTAATATTAATCAAGCACATTCTGCAGAGTATAGATTCAGATTTATAACCAATAAGGAAATTGTACGTTGGACAGGTGATCCTGGAGTGAATATTTCAGTACACGGTAAATATAATTGTTTACTCTGAAAAATTACTCCTTGATGCTTTTGTTGTTGTTGTTGTTTTGTTTACTAAAAGGAATCTCTCAGTTTCATTATGTTTCATTGTTTTTTTTTGTTGATAGATTTAAGAGTGTCCATGTGCAGGTCAAGAGAAAATGGAAGCACAATACCTGGAGACTCGTTGATTTTATCATGCACACTCAACTGTTCTGGTAAGTTAGCTGAGGTTCAGTGGTTTAAGAATGGTGATCCGATTCAACAGTCAGAGCCCGTCCTCACTTTCAGCAGAATAACTGCTAAAGACTCTGGGAATTACTCTTGTTCTTTGAGAAACTTTAAAACAACTTTGTCTGAAGAATTTACCATTTACATTGAAGGTTGGTTGAACCAATAAACATTTGAAAAACAGTTCCATATCTACACAATCATATACATATTTGGAAAATGAGAGATGTATTGTGCATAATTCAAAATAAATTATATCTTTTTGTTGTCCTCAGTAGATGTCGCCGGGTCCCCAATGGTTTTGATTATTGTGGTGTCTTTATTCTCACTTGTTTTCATCACTACAGCTGTGATGCTTATAAGGTAGGACATTTAGATTTGTTTGTATTTGCACACACCAATAAATTACAAATCTCTCAGTCAGGCTAAATGAAACATGAACTGACATTGCACTAGTCAAATATAGCACTTTATACAATAGAGATTGTTTCAAATCAGATTCCCATGTATTAAACAGGAAAGTAACAGAATCAATTATGCAAACTTCACCAAAAATGAGACAAATCCAAATTTTGTTGCAAAGCAGCTCTAACAAGACAATAGTGTCATTATTCAGCTACATTTTGGTTCAATTATGTTCAGCAATTATGAAAAAAGTTCAATTCAGCAGCAAGTAGCTCAGCTGAAGACAGTGTTTCTGCTATAGTTTAATGTTTAATGTTGATTCAGTTCAGTTCAATAACTGCAGATGTTACAAAATTTGTCAATTTTGAACAAATTTGATTCAGCTATGAAGTCATTATTCAGCTATTCGGTTGAAGTTTTTTCTCATCTGACAATGTCAGTGCAGTCAAATTGATAATTATGGCAAGCCGTTTTAGCTTAAAATATTCCCAGTGTTACTCGTCATAATTGCATTTTTACTAATAACAATTCAATTAGAGAGCTCTACGATTAAATTCTTACTAGTAATAATGCCAATTAGAGAGCTCTATAATTCAGATCTTACTAGTAAGAATGCAATTGCAGAGCTCTCTAATTAAATTAAAGAGCTCTCTAATTGTAATTGTAACTAGTAAAAAATAATTTAGAGAGCTGTCTAATTGGCATTCTTACTTGTAGGAATTTAATTGTAGAGCTGTAATTGAATTGTTACTAGTAAAAATGCAATTACGACGAATAACACTGGGAATATTTCTAAGCTAAAACGGCCTGCCATATAGATAATATTACTCATTATTAAGTGTCTTTTAAAGGCAGGGTATGTGATTTTTCAAAAACACTTTAGAAAACTGATTCGGGCCGAATCGCAAAACAAACTTGTAGCCAATCATCAATAAGGTTTCACAGAACTAATCGTTGCCTGGGTTGCGTACGTATGTGTGGGGCGGAGCTATCAAAATAGGGGCAAGACCCTTTTGGGGTAGGGGCGTGTTTGTTTTGGTGATTTCAAATATCAACACTGGCTACCAGAAATCACTTACTCTGCCTTTAAATCCCAACTAAGCAAGCAATGTTGGTGAGGGTCAGTGGTTTAGACTTACAACACAAAGTTGCCAAACTGTATGTAGCCAGAATAAATTGCTATCTAAACTGCTTCCGATCAGTTCATACACCTGTTTGTTTATGTTTGTTTATTTGATAAGACATAATGAAATAATATTTTTTTAATATTTGCTCAGAATCAAACCCCTTTCATGACATCATTAGTATTTCTGCCACATTTACTCTTAAAAGGAAAGCAAGGAAAAGTCAAGGAAAACCAACGGAGAAGAGAAAAGAAGCAGAGGGGTCTCTTTACTGCACTATTCAAACAACGGTAAATATATTTGCAAAACCTTAACATGTAAAAAACTAAAATTATTTATTATTGTTATTAGGGAGAAAATATGAGATGTATAACAGTAAGAATCACAACAAGTGTTTTCATGTTTAGCACTGTTCTAAGTTAGAATTGTATAAGGATATACATAGATACCCTGTTGTAAGCACCAGCGCTGCTGTTTTGGATGCTGGTGTTTCCACCAGGCTTCTTAACCAACTACTTAACCAACTGCTTAGTTGAACCGGCAAACTCAGAAAAAACACACTGTTATTCGGAGCTAAACGGTACAAAAGATACAGTTCCACATAAAGTCATGTTCTTTGCCATCTGTTTGCTGTTAGGCCGACGCAGTCTACTCAACCATCAAAAACCCTCAAGAAGCCAAGGATGGACTGCAGCAAGTGTAATATGCTTCAAGTGTAAGCCTTCAAGACACACGACACTGGTCGCATTTTTCTTCATACTTTATTTCAGGGGTGCCCAATCCTGTTCCTGGAGATATACCTTCCTGCAGAGTTCAGTGCAAACCCTGCTCCAACACATCTGTCTGAAATCAATCAAGTGTTCCTGAAGATCTTAATCAGCTCATGTGTGTTTGATAGGGTTGGAGCTGAACTTTGCCGAAAGGTAGATCTCCAGGAACAAGATTGGGCACCCCTGCTTTATTTAACCTGACCAGTAGTTATGGAGATGATGCAACATGATTCATTATATTTAATTATGTCAGTCTTGGCATCATATTAATAGCGGATATGAGTTTGTAAGTATTTTACTGTAATGATCTTCTTTATTTCTAGGTCTGCAAACACAAAGCAGCAGAATGATTTAACCATACAGTGCAGTGATGAACAATTAATCTCATACTTTCAGCAGTGAAGATAAAAATTGTGTGTGTGTGTGAGTGTGTAAGTCTGGTTTTGCCTACATTGTTTTGACCAAAATTCCCCATCAAAAATAGTAAAACCTGAAATCTTAGATTGTGAAATATTAGGTTGAGGGTGTAGGTTGGGGAATAAAATAGCTTTAGCTCAATACAATAAACATATGAACAACAGAAGTTATTGAAAATGAAAGAAAGCAAACATGTCTGTGTGTTTTTAGATCTAAAATGGTCAAATGTGGAACTGTCTCTGGCTAGTTCTCAAATACAACAAATATAAATGTGCTTCTACCTGTTTAGATAGAGCTGTAAAGGTTAGTGTTAAGAGTTGGGAGTAGACGGTTAAGCTAAAAAAATGCTTCTCAGATAAGTATTGCTTGATAAAAAGAAATGTAAAAACATAAGAATTGTAAATAACAAGAAAAGTACTGAAAAAACTTTAAAATTACATTAATAAATTCATTAAATTAAGAAACATTCTAGGAAAAAATGTAAATATAACAATGAATAGTCATTGTAGCTACAATGTAAATATGAAGGCTACTCAATATAAGTAATAAGGCTTCTCTAGTTATGAATATGTTTTGTATGGATTTTAACATTTATGTACATGGCATTTGACACTGTAGCACATGCAGTTGTGTGGTGTTCTTTTATGCTTTGCTTTCAATACCTTTTTAATTGTTTTAAAGGACTTTAATTAATCTGCAACTTTGCATTGTTATAAACCAAATATGCATAATAAATGTGTTTGTGATTATTATTATTATTATTATCTTTATAAGCCTACATGATCCTATAATTTGATCTCACCAACTGATTGATCCTACTGATATCCAAAAAGGCTAGAAAATAAACTTGATTTAGTTGACAGTCCATACTGCACATTAGCACCATTTAAAAGAGAAAAAAACCTTATGTCTTTCTTATTTATTTTATGCCATAATTTTTCTCTCTTTTTTTGAATCCTCACACTTTCTTTTTATTTCCAATTTGATGCGCTGGCAACCAAAAGAAACAAAGGAAGGAAGTGTTCTCTTTGGCTAATAACAAGACCATTCAATGCAATATAAATAAAATAAAATAAAGTAATTCATAAAAAGCTCAACTCATTTGACAGTAAAGAAACGCTGGAAAAAATGAATCAGGCTTTATGATGGAGCTACAAGAAAATCTGCAGAAGCAGTTTCTCTAGGTGACCAAATAAACAAATAGGTTAGGATATTTCATATTTGACTAGTTAAATGAATTCACACTATCACAGGAATCTAAAAGGTAAATGTTAATCATGTTCATCTTTTCAAAAAGCTTTTCTGCACTCTTTTGCTCAAATAAAGTATAGCCCAATTGCTCATTTACTCAGCATATAGTGTCTTCCAAAACCCATATGACTTTCTTCAGAGGAACATATAAAAATAAGTAATTTGTAGTAGTATATGTCTGAACAGTATATACCTGTTCATTAATACAATTGAGTGAATGGTGACCAAAGTTGTCAAGTAAGATTTTTAATGAATTAAAGGTCTCTGTATATTTCTCACATAAAGCTATAATATGGCGTATTCCATAGCAAGATGCACTGAAGCTATATTGCATTGTATCTAGAGGTGTAAAAATAGTACAAAGAAATTATACCTGATTGAAAGGATACTTTGTCAAAAATGTAAATTGTTATAGCTTTGGAATATATACATCTGTAAATGTGAAGATAATGTTAAAAAACTTTGTAGACTTATAGTTTTCATTCTTACTTGCTCTTTTAGTCCTTATGTGAGTCCATCAGTGCTAATGGTATTAACCCTTGTGCGCTCCTCATTTGGGAGTCACACTCATGGTCTGAAATTTAACTTTTTTTTTCTTCAGTAAAAATAGAGACTAGGCCTTTACATCATTTTTTAAAGGCAGACTAGCACCTCCTGGTGAGAGCAAAGAAAGAAAAACATGTAATTTCTTTTCTGCATCGTGGGGGATTTGTAGATTGTACACACAAAACCATTCATTTCCTATGGTCGGTCATTTTTGACTGAAGACCATGAGTGTGACTATTTTTTTTTATGAGCACTTAGCTTTTTCGATCATGCCCTCAATTTTTGTGTGTGTTCACATACCAAGTGCAATAAAAGTCACCAAGTTTTGTACCATTCTGATGAAGCTACGATTTTTACATATTCAAAATGTACAATTCTTCGGTCAAAAGTGACCGAAGACCGCACAAGTGTTAAGAAGGAAACGGAAATCAGCATTTGTCTGAGCAACTTCTTCATTTTCTCTTCTTGTGTTTTGTCTCACGCTCCACACAAAACATCTTCTGTAAGCTAAATAACTGAAACAGTGAATTGAAATGCTGCAAATTATTCTGCTTCTCCTGCCTGGTAAGAAAATATTTTCTTATGGATTTTGTGCATTTTTTTTGTTGTTGTCCAGTTTCCCTCTAATTCATTTCTAGCTGATTTTAATCAACTGAAAATATACAATGAAGACCAAATTCTGAGGCCACTAATAAAACTGTTGCTATTTTGTGTTCTTTTTGTTTTCTAATGAAAAGTTGAAAAGAAAAGATTGAAAAGATTTTATTAATACCTGGTGTATATGGAGTATGCATCTGCTTATTTTATTAGTGACATAAATATTACAGAACCTTGAATATCATATCTCTTATCAATTTATGCCATAACTTTTCTTTATTGTACTTTTAAAAAAAAATGCATTTAATGCTTTTTTATGTGAGCTCAGACTTTTGGATCCCATTGTGTAATGTAAATAAGTTCTTAAAAACTGTCACAATAGATGTTCTAGATAATATCTAAAACGGATATTGTGTCAAAAGATATTTTAATTATCCATTTCAACTATCTACAGTAACAAATATTATAATTAAAGCATTCTGTGCTCCTCAGCTGTTGTCAGTGATCAGTGGAGTGTGCGTTATCCTCCTTCGATCTGTGCTGCGAGGGGATCCAATGTCACTATTAACTGCACATTTACGTATCCACCTGAAAATGACATAAAGCAAGTGCTATGGTGTTCAATGAGATCAAACAAAGGCAAATGTCATTATCAGCCATATGTTTATGATAGTGAAGCAAACAATAGTCAATCATTTCAAGACAAAACCTCAAATTGTTCACTTTTGATCAGTAATATTAATCAAGCACATTCTGCAGAGTATAGATTCAGATTTATAACCAATAAGGAAGATGGACGTTGGACAGGTGATCCTGGAGTGAATATTTCAGTACACGGTAAATAGAAATGTTTACTCTGAAAAATTACTCCTTGATGCTTTTGTTGTTGTTGTTTTTACTAAAAGGAATCTCTCAGTTTTATTATGGATTTTTTTGATAGATTTAGGAGTGTCCATGTGCAGGTCAAGAGAAAATGGAAGCACAATACCTGGAGACTCGTTGATTTTATCATGCACGCTCAACTGTTCTGGTAATTTAGCTGAGGTTCAGTGGTTTAAGAATGGTGATCCGATTCAACAGTCAGAGCCCGTCCTCACTTTCAGCAGAATAACTGCTAAAGACTCTGGGAATTACTCTTGTTCTTTGAGAAACTTTAAAACAACTGTGTCTGAAGAATTTACCGTTTACATTGAAGGTTGGTTGAACTGATAAATATTTGAATATTTTCATATCTAAACAATCATATTCATATTTGGAAAATGCAAGATTTATTTCGCATACTTACAGTATGTAAAAAAAAATTTTTGTCCTCAATAGATGTCGCCGGGTCCCCAACAGTTCTAATTATTGTGGTGTCTTTATTCTCACTTGTTTTCATCACTGCATCTGTGATGCTTATAAGAAGGTAGGATATTTTGATTTGTTTGTACTTGCACACACCAATATATTATAAATCTCTCAGCTACTCTATACAGTCAGTCTAAATGAAAGAAGAAGAAAAAATTTAGAAAGTAAAAACAAAAACAAAAAAAAAGCAAATTTTGTGTAGCTGCCAGGGGAGTTTTGTAATGTTGATGAGGCCAGTGGTTAATGCTTAGAACACAAAGTTGCCAAACTGCATGTAGCCAAAATAAATTGTATTGTTATACTTTAGAGTTACATTACAGAATCAAACCCCTTTCCTGAAATCATCAAATATTTTTGATGTATAAGCTAAATTGTGCTATTTATAATGCATTTCTGTCACATTTATTCTTAGAAGGAAAGCAAAAACTCAAAGAAAACCAATGGAAGAAAGAGAAGAAGCCCAGGATTCTCTTTACAGCACCCCTCAAAAAACTGTAAATATATTTGTAAAACCTAAACATATAAAAACAAACAAAACATGTATAAGCTGTACCCTATTGAAAGGACCACAAGGCTTCTTAACCAGCAAGTCTTGTTTGGTCAACCAGGCTTACACAAACCTACCGGAAGCCAAGGATGTTCAGCAGGAAGATGAAGTAGAATATTCATCTGTCAACATTAAACCCAAAGAAATGCTTCAAATGTGAGCATTCAATACACATATAACTGTGGTCAAAAATTTCTACATACATACTGTAATTGTTTTATTTAATCTGACCAGTAGTTATGGAGATGATGCAGCACAATTCATCATATTTGAAATCATATTTGTCTATCTTGACATAATATGAGTTTGTGAGTGTTTCACTGTTATGATCATCTTTATTTCTATAGGTCTGCAAACACAGAGCAGCAGGATGATTCAACCATCTACAGCACAGTGATGAACGGTTAATCTTATACATTCAGCAGTGAAGATACAGATTTGTACTGTAACATGTTTGTGTGTGTGTGTGTGTGTGTGTGTGTGTGTGTGTGTGTTTTATCTTTAAAAATGTCAGATGAACTGTCTCTGGCTAGTTCTCTTTCTTATGTGCTTCATTTGAACAGTCTTAAAACATTTAATGGCAGCTGCGTTGGGAGTAGACAGAAAACTTCTCGGATAAGCATTGCTTGATAGCTACAAAGAACAGTAAAAAAACAGTAGTGAGTAAAAAAAAACACGTTAAAACGTTAAAATTATGTTAATAAATTCATTAAATTAAGAGACATTATTTCTGCTTTCTGTTGTTTTGCTTTTTAAAACTTTTTTTTTTTAAATTTGTAAATAATGTTTTGAATGTGCAACTATAGTTATAGAACAAATAAGCATAATAAAGTTTTGGTGACATTTTTATTTGTTTCATTATTATTTGATCTTTTTAAGCCTACGTGATCCCATAATTTGATTTCATAACTGATCAAGTTTCAACCAAAATTTCAAAATAAACGGGCTAAAAATATTTTTGAAGGAGAATTCAGTTTGGTTCTGGATTCCTAATATGATTTTCAAGAGATGTGGAAATTTACAGTTTTTGCTTTCTTGTGATTTTAAGTCCACAAGGCTCCCAGTGAAGCTTTCAAACTTCCATAAGCAAGCTTTAGACTCATGGAAGCTAATCTTTCAACATAATTTCCCCCCTCATATTATTTGGAATAATCAGTATGTTTTATCAGCTCGTAAATCTGTTTTCTTCCCTGATTGGTTCTCCAAGGGCATTGTGTTTATCTCAGATTTAATAAGCAACAGTGGAGATTTTTATGCTTATGTTGATTTTATTAATAAATATGGGATAAATGCTTCAAAACGGGACTATACTATTCTTACAAATTCCATTCCTCCTAAGTTGTTCTTTTTAATGAAGTCTTTTAAAATATATTGTAATTTTAATTTAATTATCCCTCGATTATTTATTCAAGGGGTTAATATTATGGATACAAGGGTACAAACAAATACACAGTATGTATTTGTTTGTACAAATACATTTTTGAGAAACTTTGTTACTGCTAATAATGCTTCATCTTTTAAAGCTTATGGAAAGTGGTTGACACTTTATCCAAATGTTCATTTTCAGAAAGCATGGACAGTCCCAAACAAATTTTAATTTAATAATAAAATAAGTTCATTTTAAAATTATTCATCATTATTACCCCTGCAACAAATATTTAAGTAAATTTATACAAAATCTTTCTCCACTCTGTTCTTTTTGCCAAGAAGAGGAAGAATCTCTTTCACATTTATTCGATTTCTGTCCTTAAACTAAACAATTCTGGCTTCATATTTCAGCATCTTTACTTCTTGTATTCTTTCGTCTATGTAACATTTCAGCAGTTAAGGTTCTCTTTCATTCTGTGGTTTCTGACAATAGGGAGCTAGAGGATGCCCTGGACTTTATTTGTATGATGGGAAAATTCCACATTCACAAAGCAAGATGCCTTAACTTTAAACCTAATTGTAAAATATTCACTTCTGATTTACTTTTGCTTTACTCATCACTTCAGAGAATCTCCTCTAATAAAAAAAAGCCTTAAAAACATCCAATCTTATAAAAAAATTAATAAATAAGTAATAAATTTTATGATTGTAAAATAACTGTATATTTATTTACCTTTTATTTGTTATTGTATCCCCCATATGTTTATGTTCTTGTTCTAATGTTTATGTTTCTTTCTGATATTGTTAATAATAATAAAAAAAACTGATCAAGTTTCACTGATATTCTAAAACCTGACTCGCGCGTTAGTTGACATCGCACATTAGCGCCATCTAAAGGAGAAGAATTCCACTGCACTGCTCCCATGACAACGACTTAACAAACGGAAGTTGAGCGCATGTGTCCGAACGAACTTCCGACGCACAGGTGAGGTTAAAAAAATCTATCATCAACTTTAATAATTCTATATAAAACAAAGTGAGCACGTGTGGCGAATTTGGTTAGGTAATCTCATTTTTATTCATCGCAATCTGAACTGTTTTTATGTATTTTTGTTTTGATATTTCGTTCATGACAATAAATATGATAAATTATTTTTGTAAGTCATTCTCAAAATAATTATTTGTGTTGCATATACTTAGTTTTCAAAACAGGACCTTAAAATATCAAAAACACAAAATAAACAACTAAAAGAAATTGAAATAACGTCACAAGAGGGCATTTGTTGACATTTTCTTGACCTTTATGTCTTTGTAGTTGACTGCTCTGCATTCATGACTGAAAAATGGACAGATTTCGTGAGCGTCCAGGCCAAACTCACTGTCATCCTGCCACACAAACTCCTGTCCAGAGCAGTCTGATAGCTAACAGATACATCATCCAGCAGAGACTCGGGAAGGGAAGCTTCGGCACTGTTTACCTTGTTAAAGACACAAAGGCAGGAGCAGCAGAGAGACTGTAAGTCCTTTAATATTTCTCACCACCAATGTTCTTTACAGCAGTGATTCCCATACAGTCTGCTTCCAGAGGTCCCACTTTGACAATAAAATTTAATCCTCTAATACTTGGGTTTTTGTGGAGAGAGTTCCACTCTACGTATTGGTCACCATGCATTTAGGCTTATTATAGTAGTCAAGGCAGGGTAATTTATGGGTAAGCATTAAGCAACGAATATGCTATAACATACTGTCATAAATTAGAATCTCTCATAATTGAAGTGGAAAATATCACAGATTGTATCAGTTTCTGAGGTGTTTGAAGAACTGAGGAAAAACTGCATGTATTTAGGCAACCTTCCAATAACCACTTACACAACGCCCACCATAAGCACACTGTCACACACACCCACACGTGCACATGGCCTAATTATGTGTCTATACTGTATGTGTCTGTTGCTCTAATTTTTAGAAGTAAGCTTATAGGAAGTCTTATGATTATGCGTAAAATGTCTAATTAAAAAGTCATTGTGAAAGTTGCATCATTATTTTATTTTAAATAGTCTTGGATTTACAGATATTATTAGAGGGTTTTATTTACTAGTTGCTTTGTATTTTTTCTATGTAGGATTTAATGAGTTGTAATGATGATTCCAGATGCATCCTCTGCAGGAGAGAAAATATTGTCCTGCACATTTTGGTTTTGTTTGGCAATATTTAAAGAATTTATTTATTTTTTGGTCTTAAATTCACTTCTCTGTCTAGCCACCTGGGAGCAGCATTGGTCTTTGTAACTAACCATTCAGTATTATTTTCCTTCGAGATAGTTGAGGAACCCTTCATGTTACTATCAACATATCTGTTATTCCTTATGATCGCAAATGGTGTAAGATCAAACTCTCTATTATTCTTTCATTAGAGAGCAACATTTACAATTCATATCATTTTAATACTCTCATGGTTTCATTGGCTTGTAATGTAAATACGTAAATATTTATTTTTCTGTATAGGTGCACATTATATTTTTTTCTTCAGATAGAATAAATGGCCTGTCACTGGAATATTAGCTAAATTGCATAAAGTCTTATGCGATTTAATAGATTCTTATAGTTTTTTTTTTTTTTTTTTTACATTTGAAGTCCTGAGGGGAGGTTTCACTGGTTATCATCTGGATGTGTTGTGAAATATGTAAAGTTGATTTATTGCTTTTGTAGAGGACTGCAGTCTTAAACAGGCAGGTTTGCTGTCGAAACAGAGATAGGAAAAGGAAAAAGGAAATCATGAGTCTTTTTTTTTTTCAGGAGGCATTAGGTGCTTTGGTGATCATGGCAATATTACATCATACCCAGATTCAGTTCACAGCGAAGCTCCCACAATAAATTAAAACCAACGGCTCTTACTTTATGAGGATATTGCTCTCAGAACAGAACAAATATTTGGCTGTGTCTGTTATATACGTGGATTTATTACGTGCCTCTTGATTCTGGTCAAAGGTGAAAATAAGCAATTAAACTATTGATCTTTTTCCTAGGCAACCAATTTTCTACATAGTTTCATGTCTTCTTATAAACATCTGCGAAACACAATTACACTACCATTCAAAAGTTTGGGGTTGGTAAGATTTTTAAAATGTTTTTGAAAGCCGCGTCTTGTGCTTACAAAGGTTGCATTTATTTGATCAAATATTATTATTAACTTTTTTTTAAATTCTATTGTAATATTCCTTTATTGCTGTGATGGCAAAGCTGAATTTTCAGAAGCAATTTTCAGAAGCAATTACTCCAGTCTTCAGTGTCACATGATCCTTCAGAAATCATTTAATGTTGAAAAATAATTTCATGAATACATTTCAAAAATATGAAGTATACTGCTTAATATTTTTTGTAGAGACTGTGACACATTTTGCCAGGAATCTTTGATGAATAGACAGTTCAAAACAACAGCATTTATTTGAAATAGAAATCTTTTGTATAAAATAAAAATCATTTAGAATGTATGGAATTAATTTTATGCAATAGTTTTATGAAATTAACCATGACATTTAAAAAAAAATAAAAAAAATAAAGTTCAGCTAAAATAAATGAAACTAACTTTTCCTTACTAATAATATATATTTTTTCCTTCTGTAGAACTCAAAATGAGAAATTTTAGATCTTGGACAGTAGAGCTCTGTCTTGATCACCGTATTTTGCTGTTTAGACCAACTGCCCGCATATTATCCTTCACATATTGATTTCTGCGGTCTTTGGTCTGTGGGTTTATAATTGGATTCATATACACAAGCAAACTGCCTGGAGAAGAGCCAGTTACAATGTTGTCAGTTCATTTGCTGCTTTTAACTCTTCTCCATGTCTATCACACTCTGCTTGGCAACATACTGTGAAGCCCATATCAGACGAGGAGCTGGAACTGAAAGCTGGAGAGATGCTGGTGGAAATAGAGGCCAATTAGGAAGAGCTCCACGCTTTAGCTGCCCACAGGCGAGTGGCGTCACGCTACGGGTTACTGTTCCTTTGGCCGTGAGCTTTCTGCTTGTTAGCCCATCG